TGCCTATTAACCCCTTATTGGATATATCACTTGCAAATACCTTCTCCCATTCAGGAAGTTGCCTTGTCATTTTGTTAGTGGTTCTTTTTTTGTGTAAAAGCCTTTTACTTTGATGTAACACCAAGAGTTTATTTTTGCCTCTGTTTCCCTTGCCTCAGGAGACGTGTCTAGTAAAATGTTACGAAGGAGGATGTCCGAGACATTACTGCCCATCTTTTCTTTAAGGAGTTTTGTGATTTCAGGTCTCACATTTAGGTCTTTAATCCATTCTGAGGTTTTTTTGGTGCATGGCATGAGAAAGGAGTTCTGTTTCATTCTTTAGCACTGTTCAGTTTTCCCGGCATCATTTATTGGAAAGACTGACTTTTTCCCAGTGTATGTTCTTGCCTCCTTTGTTGTAGATTAATTGACTATAAAAGCATGGGTTTATTTCTGGACTCTCTATTCTGTTCTGTTGATCGACGTGTCTGCTTCTGTGCCAGTATCATACAGTTCTGATTACAAGAACTTTGTAGTATATTTTGAAATTTGGGATTGTGATGCCTCCAGCTTTGTTCTTCCTTTTCAAGATTGCCTCGGCTTTCTGGGGTCTTTTGTGGTTCCATGCAAATTTTCGTATTTGCTCTATTTCTGTGAAAAAATATTCGTGGAGGAACAGAACTTTTAATTGCATTTAAATTTAATTAATTAAAATTTAAATTTAAAAACTGAAGCAGTGTAAAATATGTATGTCTTATTAAATAGTACTTTATTGTTTTGGGAGGACTACACTTCACTTCATTGAAACTTTCAAAGAGCAAAGGAAAGAATGATGTAGAACATCAGTCTTTTCATAGCATTTATTTATTGAAATGATATGATTTCAGATGTTAGGTTAAAATATGTTAGTTAAAATTAATTTCATCTTTCTTTTTACTTTTCCCGCACGGATACTGGACATCGAAAGCTCCCTGTGGTTTCCACTGTATTTCTATGGAGAGAGCTGAGCAAAGAGTGGAAAAGTGAGTACAAGGAGATAACAGGTGGAAGAAATCTGAGAGGTACAGAGACGGGCTCACATTTCTTGGGATGGAAACTCACATTTATTTAGCTTTTATTTTGTGCTTGGGACTTTAGACATTCCATGCACACAACTCAGTCCCAGGTTGATATCACTAGCGTCTTGCTACATATTAGGAAATCGAGGCTTGGGTTTGACCAAAGTCCTGTGACTGGTGCAATGACTTCGAACCTGGCAGGGCAGGGGCCCTGGCCTGCACTGGTTTTATTTGTCTCTGAGCCCAGCTTCCAGCCTGCCTCTGTCACATTCCTTCTGCCTGCCTCTCTGTCTCTTAGGCAGAGCCCATGCTTCTGGACACTTCCCGGAAGATGCTCTAGAATAGTTAAACAAATGGATGACCACAGATGAATCACTTTATCAAACTTTTATGAAAAAGCTCTTCTGTGTCAGGCCCTGTTTAAAGCCCAGACTCACCAGAGCTGTTTCCAGATGCCACCATCACATCCAGCATCAGGCCAACATTGCTCCTCCCCTCGCCTTGGCCAGCGCTGCCCCTGTGTCTCTGCTGTGGGATCGGCATCTGGGAGTGGTTTCTCCTCCCGTCCCTGAGTCAGGTCCCAGGTGAGTCCTTCCAAGGGCCCTGTGGGGGTGCACCTGTGTGTGGGCATGCCTGGGGGCATGCATGTGTGTAGTGCAGGGGTGCCCACGGCATAGCTCTCCTGCTCACGGTCTGATCCAGCTCTGTGGCTCTGCCCCCAGAGTCCGTGCCGCAACCTCTTGCTTCTGGAGCCTTCTTGAGGGGGCTGCTGACAGGTTGCTCTAAGCTTACCCATCAACCTTCCTGGGGGCTCTCTGAGGACCTGGCCCCCAGCCACACCATGCGGGGGAAGTCCAGACCACACCTCCACCACCTTCTCTCTCTTCAGTTCCTTTTTCTCCTGCTAGTACTGCAAGTCCACTGTCTGTCTTACGAGAAACCTGGAGGGGAAGAGCCGACTTCCTCTTCCCACAGGCACCCCTATCCCTAAGAGGTATTTGCGGGGGCCTGCGTGGCTGAGGTGACAAGGGAAGAGATTCCAAAGCAGTCCTCCTCAGGCTAACAGGTTGGTCCTCAGCTGGGGTGGGTGAACAGAAAACATGGGGGAGGAGGGATGGCTGGGGGCCCAGACAGACTTGGTTGCTTTTTATTAGCCCTGAGAACCTACCTGGTCCCACTCTTTATTATTGAGGACCTACCATGTGCTCAGCACAGTGCGAGGTGCGGGTCACAGCAATGAACCAAAGACAGCAATCCTCACAGCCAATCATTCCTTTTGGGGGAAAGGGATCAAGAAAGAATAAGCACGCACATGAGGACTAGCTATAGGGAAACCAAATCTAGTAGCAAAAGGTAATTGGGAGTGACCCAGGGGAGAGGCCTGGGTGTTGGCAGCTGTATTTAACACTGGGCATGCCCCAGCCTGGAGCTTCCTAGGCAATTCTGGGCACCAAGAGAGCCCGAGCCATACCGTGTCAGCCTAGTGAAGCGGTGGGTGGGGCTGGGTATCCACGTCGGTGCCCCTTCTTGGTTTTATCTGCTCATGTATGTCCCAGCTCGCTTCACCAGCCCTTCCTGGGCGGCATCCAGCTTGCTCTGCAGGCCCTGAAGCCACCATGGCCTGGGCCAGAGCAGGCTGTCTCTCACATTTGTTCAGCATGGAGGAGACTCAGCCCATTGCAGGAGCTCTATGGCTCCAAGCTCAGGTGGAGCCCAGCCCTTTCCCACTCCCCTGTCCTGGGGCCTAAGGGATAGTCGGCATCCAAGCTACAGGCAGCAGACACCTCCCCAGTCACAGACGCCAGGCCCGAGGTTTTGGGGTTTGGAAAGAAGCCTGGGCCACAGGGACCACTTCTCTCCCTGTGGCTCAAACCACTGCTCCAGGCCCCAAGTGGGCATGTGTCCAGGAAGCACATGGGCTGCTGGGAAACCCAGCCGTGGCTCCTGGGTTCCAGCGGAGCCTCCTCCAGGGTGGGTGCTCAGTGTGGATCAGGGACACTGAGCCTCCTCACCATGGCTGCTACACGTGGCCAGACCCTGGGCTCCCTCCTCCCTACCCTTCTGCTGGGACTCACAGGTAAGTCCTGGGTGCTGCTCAGAGCTAGTACAGAGGCCCTTGGGGGTTACTAAACCCAGCTGCCTTGTGTTGCAGAGGTCTGGGTCCCAGAGTACCTCGCTGAGCCCTCTGCCCACCTGCCAGGGTGCTAGTTTGTGTCCCTTTCTCACTGCGGACCTTGTGTGAAACGGAGGTGATGGGGGTCAGGAGGACTCGAGGGCGAGAGACTGGGGAAGGGTAGGGAGTGGGAAGGAGCCCACCTCCCACCCAGTCTCCCTGATGTTAGCTCTGGTCTGAGTGGCTGGCTGCTCTAGGTCCGAGAGGGCGTGAGGGCCAGAGAGACAGAGGGAAAGGACCTCGAGTGAAGGCACCGTGGGCAACGTGGGAAGAGTATAGGACTCTCAGGTGGACAGACCTGCTTCACATCCTTCCTGAGCCCCCGACAGGCTGGGTGACCTTGTACAAGTCACTAAACTTCTCTGTCTCCATCTCTTGTGTGGTGAATTCCATCTTCCACGGGTCACTTTTCTGCTTTGTAGACATGAAGCTTCATTCTCTAAAACTTCTAATCAGTTTCCTGGGTGTTCAGAACAATTTGAGGGGAGGGGCATCTAGCCCTGCAGTTGTCCTGGGACGACTCCAGGACACAGAGGCTAGGCTAGAAGAGGGTGGGCAAAATTGCCTCAGGGGGAGAGAACTCTCCATCTCCAGAGGTGAGCAAGCAGAGGGTAGATGGGCGCCCAATCAGAAGATCTGATTAGGAGTCCCAAATGTCCCTATCCACAATAGCTCTCGACTTCACACTGATGTCCAAGAGGGAAATTTTGAGTCTTTACCACACTTCTCCCCCAAAACAGGACCATCCATGTAGATGTCCAAGAGAAAAGCCTGGGAGACATTTCCCTATGACCCATTGTATCCCCCACATCTCTTCAGCCTGTCACCAAGTGCTGCTAGGCATATCTGCCACATGGGTCTCTCCATCCTGGGCCAGGCAAGCCTACACCGCCTCCTCGCTGGTGTCCCAGCTCCCATCCCGCCACCCTCCTTTCCATCCCCAACACGGGAACCAATTTCCTTCTAAACCACGTCCACGAGGCCACCTGCCCTTGTGTTCACAATCTCCAGTGGCCTCCCGTCATGCTCAGAACAGAGTCAGGGGCGTTACCCTGTACCACAGGCTCTTCCCAGTGGACCTCTTTGTCCATGAGGCTGGAGTCCTATAGGTCTCTCAGCCTCTCAAGCCCACCAAGCCCTTACTCCCAATGTATCCTCACCTGCTTGTTCCACTTTCTAGAATGTTCTTCCCTTTCCCCTTCTCATGGCTGGCTCCTCTTCCTCCCTCAGGTTCAGCTCAAAATGTCATTTCCTCCACGAAGCCTTCTCCATTCTCTTCTAGACTAAGCCTTCTGACATTTTTTTTCTTTATCTCTGCACTTCTGGTGTCCCTGAAGTTGAGCCCCAGTTTTAATGATAAATTTGCTTGTTTACTTATCATCTGTTTTACATTCCCAAGACTGGAACCAGACACAGCGCATAGTCAGCCCACAAGACCTGATATGCCACGGGCAGCCCTTACAGGCTGTTGAGTGTGGGACGTGTCCTGTCCTGTGTGGTCACAATCTCTCTTTCACAGCTGGAAAGCCCTTCATCTCTCTGATGGGCCCATCTCAGAGGACAACCCCTGGAAATCCGGTGCCTTTCATCTGTACTGCTGGCCCCTTCAGCTCCTGGGACTTTAATGTCACCTGGATGAAGGGCAGAGATGAGCACCCAGCCTCAGCTCAGCACCTAGTGACTAACGACAAAGGCAACTATTCCGTCACCAGCAAGGTGTGGGTGACACTGGCCTGCCAAGATCACCTGCGAGGTCACCCACAGAGAGCTTGAAGAGCCCCTGTGGAAGACCATGAACCTGTCCCAAGTGCTCCAAGGTGGGTGGGCAGTAGATGTGTGTCTGTGTGTGTGTGTTGGGGGGATGTCATTTTCCCAACAATACTGCCTTCTAGAGTCTTCTGCCCAGAGCCCCAGTTCACAACAGGGAGCCCAGAATTCCTCATTGCCATAGCTGACCACACAGTGTGGCCAGGAAAGGCAGAGGTTTTACAGGCTGAACATGGGGGCTGAATCCTGGCCACACCACTCTACATGGGTGACCTTGGGTGAGTTACTTAACCTCTCTGTGCCTCAGACCCCCTCTTAGAATGCAAATAGAAATAAAACCGCCTTGTAGGTTTCAGGTGAGTATTAAATGTTTTAAGCACCCAGAACAGTACCTGGCCCCCAGTAAGTTGTTTACAAATGTTTGGCCCCAACCTTCCACTTATCATCCTTACAATCTTCTATTATCTTATGACCCGGCTGCAGTCTTCCATTTTCCAAACATCTTTGCTCTATTAATATTGTTATTATTTTTAAATTAGAAAAATGTCTTATTCATTCAGCCAGTAATGAATAGCTACTCTGTGCCAGGCACTGTTCTAGGGGCTGTGGATACAGCAATAAAATGAAATCCCTGTCCTTGTGAGCACCCTATTTTAGTCGTTCTTAACATTATATTTCATGAGATGAAATATTTCAAACATGCAAAGACTAATATACCAGACCCCTAGTTACCCCACCCATATTTAATGAACATTAACATTTCACTTTATTTGCCTTACATTAAGGACACAGAAAACATTATTTCTAAAAAACAAAAACAAACAAACAAACAAAAAAACATAACCAACGAGAATGTGAGAGGTCTCGTGGCAGGACCCTGGGAGTAGGAACAGGCTGGGCAGGCAGGAGTAACTTCAACAGATGCTTCTCGTTGTTCTAGTTGTCCCCGCCTTGAAGATCACCACCAAGACCTCGGGGATACACATCCACGTGCATCAGAGAGTGAATCTCACCTGCCACGTGAGCCACTTCTACCCCTCCCACCTGCGTCTCACCTGGATGGAGAACAGACACAAGGTGCAGATGGTGGAGTCCCCGCAGGTCACAAGAAACCCAGATGGGACCTATTCTTTGGAGCACACCTGGCAGGCAGAGGCCATGCTGGAGGGGAGCGAGTTTGCCTGCTGGGTGGTCCAGGATGAGCAGCCCCCAGTCCAGGCCAACATCACCCTGCCGGCCCAGGGGTCAAGGTCAGGGAAAGGTGGGTGTGGTCTCTTGCTGGGGCCCTCTGGGCGGCATTGCTTGGAGGGTCAGGCATAAAGACACCAACCATTAGCCTGTCGGGTGTAGGCAGTAGTAGGTCAGAGACTCAGGGCAGCACTGGATGAAGGTGAAGGAAGGGAGGATGCCCCGGGCTGGTGATAAAACTGAGCCATTCACCCCTAAATTCCCTCGCTCCCCCACACCCTCACCAAGAAGAAGGAGCAGGATTTCCCTTTCCCAATTCCATGTGCTCCTCAAATAGAAAGTTCTCCACCTTAACACCTGACTGCAGGAAATGGCAGAGATTATGAGCGGCTGGGTACCAAAGTCTCTTCCAGGAAGGCTTTTAATCAAGACTGGTTCCGCTGGAAGCTTCTGGGAGTCAATTTCATTTTATTTTTAAAGATTTTTATTTATTTGAGAGAGACAGTGAGCAAGATCAAGAGGACACACAAGCCAGGGAAGAGGCAGAGAAAGAGGGAGAAGCGGACTCCCCACTGACAGGGAGCCCAATGCGGGACTCGATCCCAGGACCTTGGGATCCTGCCCTGGGCTAAAGGCAGACACTTCACGAACTGAGCCACCCAGGCACCCCTCTGGGAGTAAGTTTTAAAGAGATGCCAAAATTCTTGACTCCCTTAGGTGGGAAACAGAGTGGGTGTGGAGCAAGATCCTCCTCTCTACTATTCAGTATTCTCTGCCTCTCTTTCTCTGTTCTTTTTCTCTCCTCCAATCCCCTCCTCGTATTCCTCCTTCTACCCTCCCTCCTCCCCATCCTAATCTTCCTCTCCTTTTCCCATCTCTCCCCCTTTTCGGCCACACATGACTTTGTCCACTAGGGGGAGCTGCATGCTAGCGGTTCAGACCCAGGAGCGCTCGCGGCTTTTCTGGGTCCAGCCTGGACCCCCTTGGGAGACCGAGTGACTGGCGGGCGGGGCGGGGGGAGGGATGTTGGGTGGGAAGAGAAGAGAGTATTGTGATTGGCCAGACCTGGGTGAGCCCAGCGCGGACTGACAGCTCTCCGGGCCCACAGGAAGTGGGGAAGGACCGCTCCCTCCAGCAGGTGTGAGCCACTGCGTCTGCGTGTGGGTGTCCGCGCCCACGCTGCTCCCAGCCAAGGATGGATGGAGGCGCGGCTGGCGAAACAGGACGTCTCCCTGGCAGGGGCTTCCACCCTGCATCCCATCTCCCCCCCCCCCCCCCCCCACAGATCGGACCTTGATCTGCCTGCTCTAGGAATTCGTGGGGGAATGATCCCACTGGCCATTCAGTTTCTCGGGTTCCTTTTTGTTTGTTGTCCAGCAGAAATAAGAGAACCGTTCACCCAGTGGGTTACACGGATCGGGGTGGAAAACTTCAAACTAGTCTCTTCTCTTCCGAAACGGTGTCTTTATTCTTTCTTACTCTCTTCTTCGCTGACTCACTGCGAGCTCTTTCCTTGTTGTCTCATCTTCCTTCCTTTTTGGGTGTTCGGGGCCTCTTCTGTATTGGGTGAGCGGACCTTCCTAGCTAGACCTCCCCAGTGTAGCCCGCAGACCGCTTCTTCAGCACCCTCACCTCCGGCCTCCTTTGGCCTTGGGCTGACACCTGCAGGGCACTTATGGTGTCCCAGGTGTGCTCGCATGGCTCGGCTGACATGCAGCCGAGGGCCCAGGGCCCAGACGTCTCAGAGGTCTGAGCTGGGGTCAGAAGGCTGGAAGTCTGTCTAGAAATTCAATGTGCTCTTTTGTATATTTGTCCCCGTTCCTTCTGGAGAATACAGACCTCAGGGTGATCTCACGTCTCCTCTCGAATCTCAGTCTTACACCCTCTATTTCTGGGATTGTCTTCTTCCTGAATGGCCCAGCTGTGGCACTTGGGCCCCTGGGGCCTCCTGCTGCTGGGCTCTGTCTGCTTTCCCATCTCCTCCGAGATGGGATCCTCACTCCTCTGAAGCAGACTCTGGATCTTGTGTTTGTAGGTGGCCAGACTCTGGAGGTAAGTTGGTGGGTGTCCCATCACAGGGCTGCCACCAGCCGTCTGTGCCCTCAGGCAAGGCGCTTCCTGTCCTGGGATCGGTTCTGCATCTCTGTCCTAACAGCTGTGGCACCTGCCTCATGGCACATTCCTTTCCTTGACCCCTGCTTGGGAACCGAACAAGGGGGCACACAAAGGGCACTGGGCCATGACTGTTTGCAGTCCCCAGGGTACACAGTCCAAAGCTGGGCTGAAGGAAGAAATGAACTAAAGTTCACTGATCATTATGGGACCAACTGTAGAAAAGTAGAGGCAGCCGTGATGTAACAGAAAGAGCCCTTGACCTGAAGTCATAACCCTTGGTTTAGAACGTGGGTTCTGTTTGCTGTGAGGCCCGTGGGAACATTACTAACCCTCTCTGAGCTGTTTCTTTCTCTAACATCAGAAATACGATTAACAACAATTTCTCAGATGGTTATTGTGAGTATAGGATGATGGTAGATCATTTATGGAGGGATCATTATGGGATCTCTATATTCTACTCTAGTTCCTTTACTTCATTTATTAACTCAGAATTAAGAATCATCCGCAGTTTGCAGATGGGGAAGCTGGGTCATCGAGAGCTAGGTTGCTCGGGCTCAGCCAGGGAAGGGGCTGGGAATGCAAACACCAGTTGAGGGTGACCCCAAAGCCCGTGCTCCTAACCTAGTCTCTGGGCCACCTGCTTTTTTATATGACCTGGGCTTTGAGTGTGGGGGGGATGTTCCCTTTTTGGGTATGGAGGACGGACCTGAGCCAAGACTGCAGACACAGACCCTGGGGCCAGACTGTCTGACTAAGAACCGTGGCTCTGCCACTGACTGACTACCTAGCCCGGTCTGGGCCTCGGGGTCTTCATCTGTGAAATGGAGATAGTAAGCGTCCCCACCTCCTAGGGTTGCAGTGATAACCTGGTGAGTCAGAGCTGGGCAGCAGAGTCTGGCGATGTGGGTGTTTGCTGGGAGTCAGCAGTGACTATGCTGTCATTGCCTGGCTGCTGATGTTGGCTTCAGAATCCAACTCCCATCAGAAGTAACCTTTACACCTTATGGGGGAGGAAGCCATGGGGCTGCTCAGGGAGCCGCCGGCATCTGGACACCTCCCTGCCTCTCACGGGAGGGCTCTCTCCCTGCAGGCCGGAGCATCCACACTTCCTCCTTGCAAGGCCCCCTCCAGCGATCAGAGCCGGGCACAAGCATCCAGCTGACCTACATGTCCTCCGGCTTCCCCTCACGTCACGTGACTGTGACCTGGTTGAAGAAGAACCGAGAGCTCCCCAAGCAGCGGACCCATGTCCACGCCAGCGGAGACACATACAACGTGACCAGCAGAGTACTTGTCCCGCTGCTGGCTGACGACGTGCTCTCCGTGGTCCAGTGCCACGTCAATCACAAGTCCATGCTGGTGTTCCAGAAAAACATCAGCCTGGACCAGTACCTCCTTGGTAAGGACATTTTCCCTGTTCAGGTGGGTCAGCCCAGAGCTGGGCCGTGCATGTCTCTGCCTCAGTTGCCTCCTCTGAAAATGGTACAGCTCTCACTTGGTTGTGGCAAGAATTCAGCAAACTAAGAATTGCCAAGTACATAACGCAGGCCTTGCTCATGCTAACCAATCGGGTAGCAGTTGCTCTGTAGCTACTCATTCTTGTTTGTCCTATCCACATCACCTCTCTGGACTCAGTTTCCTCACCTGTAAAATGGGGAACAGTATCTTCTGGGAATTTTGTGTTTTTATTATTGTTTTATATGAAGAGCATGTCAAAGTCTTTTCTTTTTTTATCTGATATTTTTGTTGTGCTTGGTTTTCCTAGCCTGGATGAATGCTTGATAGGTCTGTAAATTCAGTGAGGTCATATGTATCATGCCTAGAAGGAATTATAGCAATCATCCCATTGTTTATCACAACTCTAAAGCCCAGAGAAGGCAAGTGAGTGGTCCAAGGTTGTACAGCAGGAAAATTAATTCCTTAAATATTTATAGGACCTTAAAGTCTATAAAATAGTTTCCTCAATATTTTTTTCTATTATCATGGCAATAAAGGCATCATGTCACATGAATAAAAATACTGGTATTAACACCTCAAATGAGCTTAGCACACAGTTAGTAAAGCACATGCGTGTGAGCTGATTTATTTAATGTGTGCCACTGACCTATACTGTTTGTCCCACTGGTGATTTACACAAGGAAACTCAGATTCGAAGAGGTAGTCTGCCCCAGGTTGTAAAGCTGGTGAGTGAGAGACCTTTTGCATGAATTCAGTCTTCTAACTGCTTTTTACCATCGTGGGATCACCTGCTTCAGTGTCTTTGAGTATAAAGCAGGAAAATGATCATTCAGGGGCATTTATTATATAATTTCCCGGAGTTGGGACAAGCATATAGAAAAGCAAAAATCATAGAAAATACAAATATTCACAAATGAATTAATTACTTATAAAATTAACCCCAATCAAACCCCTCCCTGCTTAATATCCCTGCATCTCTGCTGGGTTTCCCATCACGGAAATGCCCCTGTGGGTGTCTCTGTCTGGGTTCCCCTGAAAGCAGAACCTCAAACAAGGACTGGGTGCATGTGTTTGGGAAATGATCCACAGAGGCACGGAGGTTGGGATAAGGAATGGGGAATGTTGGACAGGGAAAGCAGGACACCCAAGAAAGGGTGAGTTATTGAACGGGTGCCCTGGTGGACAACTGAGGCTCGGCACCGCTGGGACCCCCTCAGGAACTAGGTAGACTTCTCCTCAGAATGCTCATCCTCAGAACTAGGTAGACTACCCCTGAGTGGGGAAGGGAGCTGGGAATGTGCCCGCACCGTCTGGGTGGCATTTGGTGGTTATGGAGAAATCCCAAGGCAGCAGATCTGGGAAGTGTTGCGGGAGTTGCAGGAGGGAGAGGCACGTCCCAGCTCAGCTGCTCTGAGATCCGGAAGTGCGGGGGAGGGGGAGTGGAGCTCAGAAACCCACTGCTCTTGAACAGCATTGCTTTGATTGAAGTGGGGCCAGCCAGACACCACACTGTGAGGAAGAATCTGCATCCATTGCAAAGTGAAATCAGAGATCTTGCCAAAGTTGTGTTGCAAGAAGTTGATGCCGGTGATACAGGGGAACTGCTGGGATCACAGGCGAAGTCTTTGAGTGCTTCAAGGTAGAAAAGGAAGAAAAAGATTCATGATGCTCATGATTCCGTGGACATCATTGGAGGACAAGTGTCCTCAAAAGAGGACACTTGGATTTAAAGAGGTCCTGGTGAAAATTGATAGAATATTCAAAAGCTTTCAAATAATTTTTCCATTGCCTTTTAATGATGGTGCCGCGAATGTGGAATCTGTAGGTACCATATGGATTTGTTGGTACTGTCGTGTAAGGTTTTGGGAAAAATTATATCTACCTTCTTATACTCCCAACACTCATTCCTTCTAAGGGTTGGTGCATAGTTGTGGTTATTTATTACATTTAATTAAAATATAAATTAAAAAATTAGTTTTATCACTGAAATGTTTTTCAGGATGAAACTGCAACCCATTCTTCCTTGACAGTGTCTATGAAATTGGGGCCTGTTTTGTATGCGTTTCTTCTAAATGGCTTTTTGTTGTTTTCTTTTTTTTTTTTTAAGATTTTATTTATTTAACAGACAGAGATCACAAGTAGGCAGAGAGGCAGGCAGAGAGAGAGGAGGAAGCAGGCTCCCCACTGAGCAGAGAGCCTGATGCGGGGCTCAATCCCAGGACCCTGGGATCATGACCTGAGACGAGTGCAGAGGCCTTAACCCACTGAGCCACCCAGGCACCCCTGTTGTTTTCTGATACCAAGTAGCCTTCTGTGTTTAGCTCATTTGGTTTTGTGAGGATTCAAGGAGGCATCATATGTGCTGCCATTCCGTGTGTGGGAGCAGTGATCACTTGCTGTGCCTGGGTCTCTGTCCTCCCAGCACTGCCTGGACACCACACAGCCAGGAGAACTCCCTGGCAGCTAGAAGGGACATCTGAACCTCTCCCTCCTTTGAGCATCTTTCATGGCCCATAACCCTGGCCTAGGGGTACCTTATCCTGGCTTATCCTTCCTGGACATCACCCCAGTTCCGAGGCCGGAATATTCCCTCCTCAGAGTCCCCCTACCCTTTGCTTGGGAGTAATCCCTTCCCTGAAGGGGAAATGGTGAGTACAGATAAAGACCTTCTGGGGTGTTGGCCTGCCATGTCTACCCACCCATTAAGCAGCACTGACAGAATTTTATCAGGCTGGGTGGGTTGATCAGATGCCCTTTGTTCCTTCTATGGCTCAATGGAAGGAGTTTCTCTCCCCAAGACCAATGCAGGAAATGTCTTAACTAGGCCAGCGACACATTGATTAGACATTGGACAATTGCATAATTTAAGAATTTTGGAAACAGAGGGAAAGTGACTCAACACGCTCTTGAATTTGACTGTGATGTTAGTGCAAGACCTCAATCTGGACCTTCCTGCCCTTGGTTTAGGGTTAGACAGTACCATGCTGTGTGTTCATATGAATTCTATGGAAATACAAAACATTTTATAGTATCTAACACTTTCCATATTTTCCTCATTATGAATACACTCTACTGCACAGCTGGAAATCAGTTGAGAAGAATTACAGAAGTTTTTAGATCATAATTTCAGAAGCCAGGATCACAAACACATACAGTCTTAAAGTTGAGAAAATGATGGTAAAATATGCTATATCTCTTGTAATCCCAGCTTTGCCCCTTGTGACCCTGGGCAAGTTCCTGAACTTCTCCTTCCTTCCTGTGTAAAATCTCAGTGGCTTGGACTCATAACCATATAGAATCTGTGCATCTTCAAGTCTTATTATTATCAAGCCATAGAATGAGGCAGCTGACTTGTAGGTTCTTAAATAGAATTTAATGTTTATCTTTGCATCTTTTGTGGTGAAAGTGAAAAAAAAAACAGAGAGATGATTTGGATGACTTTCCTCAATCCCATCATTCTTTCATCCATGCATTCCTGTGCATGGATCCATGCATCAAACATGCATTCACTCAATGCACTCTCGGTCCTGCATTTACTCAGGCATGCACCTGTTACCAGGTCCTGAGTCCTCCTCTGGGGAAGGCCCTGGGCAAGTGACCCATCTTCAATGAGCTCCTGGGCTCCCACAGTGAGCCCTATAGTAATTGTCTGCTTTCTCTGGACTGTGTCAGTTCCCCCTACAGTGACAGCTTCCCAGGCTTCTTTCTCCTTGGACTTGGTGGCTATTACCGGCCACGTGCAGAGATTCTATCCGCAGAGCGTGCATCTCACCTGGACAGAGAACTGTCATACATTCAAGGGAGCCGAGCAACTTACATCCAAGCAGAATAGCAATGGGACCTACACCTTGGAAAGCTCGCATTTAGTGAATGTGTCGGGGCAGGAGTCTGAGTGGGTCCTCACCTGTAAGGTGCAGCATGAGGCACAACCTCCCATCCAGGCCAACCTCATACTGTCCAGAGCAGCCCATGGCACATACAAGCCCATGGAAAGCTTAGGTAAGCTCACCTCTACTGCTCAAAGCTACTGGGTCACCTTTGTCTAGTAAGTGGAGTGAGGTCTTTAAACTCACAGAGCACCATTTGTTGTCTCCTTCTGCCCATTGGTACTTAGGTCCACAGATGCCTGTCCTTATCTTTGTGGCTTTCCTTCTGGGCTTCAAGGTGCTGCTGGTGATGAGTTTCATAGTCACGTACATCTGCATGCAGCAGAACTTGTAACAGGTGAGTTGGAAGTAGACGTTAGTACATAGAGAGTGAGGTCATGTCATGGTCGTGGGCTGGCCACAGTGGTCCAAGGTGAGCCCATTATTTCACACAGCCTCAAGAAAAGGTTGAGAACACTGCTGTTTTCTCTAAATGTCTGAGCGAGATCTCAGAAGCTTCCAGCTCTCATACATCCTGCAGTGGCCTGGAGTTTGAAGGTTTTTCATTAAAGTCCCTTGGAATCCTGGGTGGGGGTCCAAGGTGTGAAGGTGGGATGAAGGTCAAAGCTTTCAGCTCCAAACTCCAGAGAGTGCCCCCATATACTATTTCATATATCAAATTTCATAGGAGCTATTTTTGGAATAAATAAGAAAAGTAATGCTAAATTTTACTAATGGAGGTGACAAAGGACTGGAAACTTTAACGAGTGGCAAAGATGATCGTGGGTGTGGGAGAGTTCAGAACTCAGACAGAGGGGCTGGGCTGCAGTGAGTAGGGGTAATTTTTCTGATTTGCACCATCAGTCTCATCTTGAGAGGGCCTGCCACATAGTACGTGCTCAAATTTTGCAATTATTAACATTTTGCCGTTATGATCCTCTGTTTCTTTTAAAAACACCGTTTTGAATTTGGTGTTTATTATTCTCAAATTTGATTTTATAATTTTATAACATACTATAAGTCCTTATGCAATGTTACTTTGCATATTTCAAATTTTATGTAAATGCTGTTATATGTATACAGTATTCTGGAACTTTCATACTTTTATGCTCAACACAGTTTGTGGGATTTTTCATGTTTCTGTACATAGCTCCATTTTGTCAGTTTTCCATGACTTTGTAGCTCTCTGTTATAAGAATATGCTACAACTTAGAAATTCTTCTCAGAATGGTATGAAAGCTCTATCTGCTCTTTGGATAATATAACTTTGCAACAAACATTTCTCTCTGTGTGTCCATGGGCTCACATGGGAGTGTCCCTCCAGCTCCTCCGCTGTGGTCCATGCAGCAACAGTTTTAGTATCCTTTGGAAGCTTTTGTAATACAAAAAAAAAGCTTTTACTTTTTGATGAAGTTTTGCTCTTTCCATTTGTACCTTTGATCTAGCTTTATTCTTCTGAGCTCTGTGCTTGTGTTTTTTTTTTTCTCTCATTGGGATAAATTGTCCAAAACTTACTGCTCAGACAGCTGCCTTTGCCATAGAGCAGACCACTCATGAATGTGCGATTCTTTCTGGAGGTCTTATTGCCATTGAACTACTTCTCTATCTCCGTCAAAACTTCCCTGCCTAGAACATTGGGGTGCATATGGCCTTTCTTTTCACTCTATCTGTATCTTTGGGGTAAATACCCAGTAGTGCTATTGTTGGGTCATAGGGTAGCTCTATTTTCAACTTTTTTGAGAAAGCTCCATACTGTTTTCCAAATGGTTGTTTCAATTTGGATTCCCACCAACAGTGTAAAGGGGTTCCCCTTTCTCCACAACCACTCCAGCATTTGTTGTTTCTTGTCTTGTCAGTTTTTGCCATTCTAACTGATGTAAGGCAGTATCTCAATGTGGTTTTGATATGAACCTCCCTGATGGCTAATGATGATGAACCTTTTTTCATGTGTCTGTTAGCCATTTGTATGTCTTCTTTGGAGAAGTGTCTGTTTATGTCTTCTGCCCATTTTTTGACTTGATTATTTGTTCTCCAGGGGTTGAGTTTGAGAAGTTCCTTATAGTACTTGGATACCAGCCCTTTATCTGTAGTGTCATTTACAATATCTTCTCCCATTCTGTGGGTTGTCTTTTTTGTTGACTGTTTCCTTTGCTGTGCAGAAGCTTTTTATCTTGATGAAGTCCTAAAATTTTATTTTTGCTCTTGTTTCCCTTGCCTTTGGAGATGTGTCTTGAAAGAAGTTGCTGTGGCTGATGTTGAAGAGGTTACTGCCTATGTTCTCCTGTAGGATTTTGATGGATTCCTGTCTCACACTGTGGTCTTTCATCCATTTAGAGTTTATCTTTATTTATGGTGTAAGAGAATGGCTGAGTTTCATTCTTCTGTGTATGGTTGTGCAATTTTCCCAGCACCATTTATTGAAGAGACTGTCTTTTTTCCATTGGATATTTTTTCTTGCTTTGTGGAACATTATTTGACCATGGAGTGATTGCTGTTGCTAGGACTTCCAGTATTATGTTGAACAATAGTAGTGAGAGTGGGCATCTTGTCATGTTCCTGATCTTAAGGTAAAGGCACTCAGCTTTTCCCCATTAAGAATCATATACACTGTGGGCTTTTCATAGATGGTTTTCATGAAACTGAAGAATGTTCCTCTATCCCTATATTCTGAAGGTTTTAATCAGGAAAGGATGCTGTATTTTGTCAAATGCTTTTTCTGCATCGATTGAGAGGACTATGTGGTTCTTGTCTCTTCTCTTACTTATGTGTTCTGTCACATTGATTGATATGCAAATGTTCAACCACCCTTGCCTCCCAGGGATAAATCCCATCTGGTGGTGATGGATAATCCTTTTAATGTACTATTGGATCTTATTAGCTAGGATCTTGTTGAGAATTTTGGCAAACTGTGGAAGGAGCCAAGATACCTTTCAGCAGATGAATGGGTAAAGAAGTTGTGGTCCATATATACAATGGAATATTACTCAGCCATCGGAAAGGATGAATACCCAACTTTTGCATCAACATGGATGGAACTGGAGGAGCTTATGCTAAGTGAAATAAATCAAACAGAGAAAGACAATTATCATATGCTTTCACTTATCTGTGGAACATAAGGAACAGCATGGAGGACGTTAAGAGAAGGGAGGGGGAAATGAAGAGGGTGGAGAATCAGAGGGGGAGATGAACAATGAGAGACTATGGACTCTGGGAATCAAACTGAGGAGAGGTGGGTGGGGGGATAGGTGAGCCCGGTGATAGGTATTAAAGAGAGCACGGATTGCATGGAGCACTAGGTGTTATATGCAAACAATGAATCATGGAACACTACATCAAAAACTAATGATGTACTGTGTGGTGACTAACATAATATAATAAAAAAATTATTTAAAAAAACATCCTCACCCTGTACGTCATGGGGATGAGAGTACAGCACAGGGGAATACAGTCAACAGTTATGGAATAACGTTGTGTGGTGACAGAGGGTGATTACACTTACTGTGGTGAACATTGCCTAATGCATATAACTTTCAAATTACTCTGTTGTGCATTTAAAACTAATACAGCACTGTAAGACAGCTTTAATAATAAAAACTTTAAAAATATTCTAAAAATAAAATACGCCTTTGCATGGAAAAAGAAAAAGACCCATACATAATACGTATTTGGCCAAGTGATTTTTGACAAAGGTTCCAAAACAATTCAATGTGGAAAGGATTATCTTTTCAACAAATGGCCATGAAACAATTAGATACTCCTATGTTAAAAAAAGAAGACTCTTAACTATTTCTTTATACACAAAATTCAATATTTTCTTTTTTTATTGTGTTATATTAGTCACCTTACAATACATCATTAGTTTCTGATATAGTGTTCCATGATTCATTGTTTGCACCAGTGCTCCATGTGATATGTACCGTCCTTAATACCCATCACTGGGCTCACTCATCCCACCACCCTCTTCCCTTCTATTACCCTCAGTTTGCTTCCTGGAGTCCATAGTCCTCTCTCCCTCTGATTCTCTGCCCCCTTCATTTTTCCCTTCCTTCTCTTAATGTCCTCCATGCTATTCCTTATGTTCCACAATAAGTGAAACCATATGATAATTGACCTTCTCTGTTTGACTTATTTCACTCAGCACAATCTCCTTCCTAAAATAATATTACCTAATATCAATATTACTGAACAACACACAAAAATACTAAGAATAAATTAATATGATCAGATGGATCATACCTAAATATAAAATCTGAAATGATAAAGCTTCTAGAAGAAACCATTGGGGGAAGAAAACAACAAAACTAAATCTTTTTGGTCTTGGGTTAGCAGACACTTCATAGATAAGACGGGGAAAAAACAGTCTATAAAGGAAAACATTGATCCATTTGACTTCATGAAGCTTTAAAACATTTGTTCTTCAAAAAATTCTGTTAATAAAAAGAAGAGGAAGGTTACTGACTGGGAGAAAATAATTGTCACGTGAAATCTAATGAAGGACTTGGATTGGGGACAACTGCCTGTTTGTACTAATCACGTTTATAATTGGTGGCTTCTTTCAGGCTAAGGTGTCAGAGAGAAGTGATTGCAGCCCGCATCTGAAGGCCGGCAGCCATAAGGCATTTACTGTCTGGCCTTCTAAGAAGTTTGCAATGCCTGAGAGAATATTTAGAGAACTCTAACAACAAAGCAGCAAGAAGATGGACAATCACATTTTCTATGTGCATAAAAAAGATTTCATCAGAGCTCTACCGAAGAACATCTATGAGCATCAATGAGAGTTTTGCTGATGCAAAATGTATTAAAAAAAAAAAAAAGACTGCTCTGTCCCAGTTAGAACAGCTTTATAATACGTTTCAATCCCTCTTTTGGGCAAAATTTCCCACCTCGTATTGTTGCTCAGAACTACTATGGCTCTCCTTAGCCCAGATGCATTTTAGAATCACTTTGTCAACTTTCATTAAAAACCATCTTTTTTTTTCTTATTTTTTTATTATATTTCATAGGATTCTATTTTTTTTTTTAGTTTTTTATTTTTTCAGCGTAACAGTATTCATTATTTTTCAACCACACACAGTGCTCCATGCAATCCGTGCCCTCTCCAATACCCACCACCTGGATCCCCCAACCTCCCACCGCCTGCCCCTTCAAAACCCTCAGATTGTTTTTCAGAGTCCATAGTCTCTTATGGTTCATCTCCCCTTCCAATTTCCCTCAACTCCCTTCTCCTCTCCATCTCCCCTTGTCCTCCATGCTATTTGTTATGCTCCACAAATAAGTGAAACCATATGATAATTGACTTTCTCCGCTTGACTTATTTCACTCAGCATAATCTCTTCCAGTCCCGTCCATGGTGCT